TATTTTTCTCTATCATTGTTTTGCTCTTCTTCAGAAAAATAATTTCCCAAAGGATACAAGGTGCTTTAGTTCAGAGAGTCAGGTTGGTCAACAATACCAATTTGAATGTGTTCAAGACTGTGTTAAATTTCACGGGAGTTGCAAGGACAAGCACACAGCAGTCCATTCATAGAGCACCAGACTGTACTAATTATACAGCTATACTGATTATCACTCTCAGTTATACTTTCCTCACAACTTTTAAAGAGCCCATCCCATTCATGTGGTTTGGAAAGACTGTGACAGTTCTCTGGTGTTTGTTTTTATTAAATATGTTTCCCTAATATTATAAATGTTATTAACATGCTTGAAAATTAATTAAAACATATGAAAAAGTCCAATAACTTTGGAAGCAGAGCACCACTATTATCCTAGACCAATGAAAATTTTGTTAATGAAAACATCTTAAATATCTTATTTTCCATTCTAATTTAGCAAACATCAGTATTTGGAGAGATTTTATTTAACTGTAATATTTGTTGCAATTTTAAAGCTTTTTCCCCATTTTCTAGTCTTAAAGTCCACAGTAGAATTTAAACTATGGATGGATTATTAGACCTATCAGTAAGTCCCAGACTGCTATTCCAGTGCCTCTAAGCCTTTACTTATAAATGATAGGGCATGGTTTCTTCATGTTTTGCAAACTAGGGTGTTTATAAAAAGAAAGAGCTATACTTGGAAGTGTCTAAGCTTCCCTCAGATTCCTGTTTCCTGTGAATCTGTCTCTACATTTCAACAAAGGGCAGCGCTGATTATACACAATTCTGGCAAATATCCCAGAATTGCTGAGTAATATGTCAGGAGTCATACAAGATATTAGCAGCAAGGCTGGGATTTGAATTCACAGTTTCACTACAATGTATTTTTCTACAGCTAACATCATATCACTGAGACATTTCCATTAAAATTTCTTACTTAAAACATTTCTCTCCACCTTTTTTGTTTGATGTGGATCATGGTGAATGACATTATTTTTTATGGGGAGAATGTTTACACATAAGTGTGACATTTAAAACCATATATCCTGCCACACACTACTGCATTTGTTTGGGATAATAATAAACTACTTGACCAACATTAAATAATGTTGCTAATTTTATTATGTATCCTATGATAGCATGTTTGAATTAACTGGCCATTTCTGAAATTCGGTCTTACCTTATTTTGTTTACTGTTGAATGATTTTCTAATTTTAAGAACTTGCAATTTTCCCCATAAAAAGACTAGGTATTTGTTTTAGATTTCAGAAGTAGAGTAAATTATGTATAGTTCTATTTCTGAGAGTTTGAGATGTTATTTCCATGCCTTAATATTTATATTAAGATCCTTCCACAAGAGTGTTTGCTAGACTAATAAAAGTTCAGAGATGACTTGTAATTGTTCAGTCTTACTCAAAACTGTCTTTGTAAAGAGTGCATTGGAATATTTATCAAATGGCATGTACACTTCCTAAAACTTATGAGCCACACCATGACAATGGAATGAAATATACTCAGTCCAAAAAACAATAATCTGAACATGCAAAGAATCATTTCCTTTAGAGAGCTAAAATTTCATAATTAGAAAGGTAAAAATGTGTTTGACTATTACAAGATAAAATATGCTCTAGTAGAAACATGATTGATTTTAAGTACTTAAGACTGGAAATATTTACTTATATTCCACTAAGCCTATTTAAAACTGTTAAATATTGATAGACTTAATAGAATATTTTGGCACTAATGTCTCTGGTCTTTGGGCATAAATAATAAAGTCGTTAGAGCCTTATGCACATACAAACTCAAGTATCTTGAAATTATTTGCTATTTACTGTATTTTACAGTGAATAATGTGTACTTTTTTGCTCAAATTATTGAAAGATAAGGATGTGTATTATACATAAGTAGTGCTAATTCTGTATCTATATAAATGTTTTTAATTCTTTTATTTATGCTTATGCATTAAAAGTATAACTCTAGAAAGCAAAATATCTGTATGTTCAAAAATAAATGTGAAAATTCCTTTATAATACAAAAAAACAAGTATCTAAATATAAATGAAAAGATTGAATTAAAAAAATAAAATGAAAGATTTTTTTCCCGAAAGTTTGGGCCAAAAACGTGGGTGTGCATTATACACAGCAAAATATGGTGTATTGGTAATAGCTACAATCTTCTGTAAGTCTCAAATACTGTTAGTCTCTACAGATAATGTGAAAAATGTATATTTTCTTGTTTACCATTAAGGAAAACAAGCCATGGAAAAGCTTAGTAAATCTCCCATAGTTATACAGCTAGCAAGATAGAGTTAAAATTCTGACACTTCAAATTCCAGTCTGTGTTCTTCATCTACACTCAACTGCCTCAATGAGCATTAATGTTATTTTTAGTTTATGGTAGTTGTTTACCAGCAAACTCTGCTGCTGGTGGCTGTTTGTAAGAGAAATTTAGAGGTTAAAAATGTTTAATGTGAAACATTCAAGCAAGCTCCATCTAGAAATCCAACGTGGTGAAAGAGCACAGGCTTTGAAACTACATGGGGACTTTGTCCGATCAGAGCTCATTCAGAATCTGGCTGTACAATTTTAGATGTTGTTTGCTGTCTCTGAGCGATTGTTCTAATATTTATAAAATGGGAATAAATAGTACAAATTTATATAAAATTTCTGGCACATAATGCCCAATAAAATGTAGAGTTCTTCTTATTGTTGTTACTGTAATCCACATTGTAGGGCACCTAAAAACCAGTAAGGCTTGCTTCATCATGCCCTTGAGGAATTTATTTTCTAGTTGCAAGGATAAGACAGAACAATTAGAATACAATTGAGGTTGTCCTATAAGAGGTGGACCATGCTTAGGGAAGGGAGTACATGCCCTTGAGGAATTAATATTCTAGTTGCAAGGATAAGACAGAACAATTTCTATACAACAGGTTTTCATGCAAAAAGTATACAATGCTTAAAAAAAAAGTACCCAGTTCTGTAAGAATACAGACTCTCTGAAAGTTAGCTTTTTAACAGATCTTGGACAAAGTAGACAGGTAGATAGGGGAATAAAGCAGAGAATACATAATACATGAAAAATATACAGTAATCTAGGCTAACTGTCTTGGTTTGACTGAAGTTTAGAAAACAATTTGTGTTGTAGTTGCAACCAGGAGACAAGAGCCAGACTGAGGTGCGCTTTAGACATCTGTGCGCATTTTATCAGGTAGAGAGCTTCTGAAGGTATTTTTACAAATCAGAACAAATTAACTCTCTATTTCAGGAAGGTGAGTTGGCCAGCTATAGAGAGAATTGAAAGACAGGACGGAAAGCCAAGATGGGATTCAGGGAAGAGAGTTTTGTAACCATTAGGAAATAGGTAATGAGGAACTGAAGGTGATAAAAGGTAGACAGGTAACAGATAAGGGTGTGAGACTTAGTTATGATGATTTTCAGGAACTGGAAGAATGTGAGGATGCCCATCAGAAAGTGATAATCTCTAACAAAATAATCTTCAACATCTAAGTACCCCAACTGTAAATAGTGTTTCTATAAGTTGGGGCAGAGGAATATAAGATCATGTTCTATACCTAAAACTATAGTTGGAGCCCTGTGATTGTCTGCTTACACAATAGCTGCTCTTCCTGCCAAGCAGCCCTTGTTCTCACATTGCAGTTTTACTTTGCTGATGAGCTGTTTCTCTGTCAAGCGGGACAAGAAAACTCCAGGGTCAAAAGGAGAACATATGAGTTTATGGTGCAGAAGGAATACCTTTAAGAAAACTGTGACCATCTGCTTGTGCCCAAAAGTCTGTTGGTACAAAATGTTATTACCTGAGACAGGAGAAACACAAACTTACCCCTCAGTTCCATGAAATATCCTATTCCCTACTCCCTAGCTACATAAAATTTCAGTATTTTTGCTTTTTAGGGGCAATGTCAGAGATCTTGCTCTCCAGTCCAAGTCCTCTTGTTCCAGCCAAATCAAACAAACCTTTCTCTGTCTCCCTGCACTGTATTTCAGTGTACAATTGTAATTGCACATTAGACAAACGAACCTGAATTTGAAAGATTGCACAAGACTTCAAAAAGTCACCGTCACTGAACTGCAGAAAGTGACACTTGCATTTTCAAATGTCACTCAACTCAATTCAACCAAAAACTCAACAATTACTTTTTCAAAGTCTACAATGTTGAAGAGCTTTTAGCTTGAACTACATAAATGACTGGAAAAACACGATAGTTTCAAAACTAGACATTTATTTTTATTTGCCAGACTATTTGCTATTTTATAATTCCCACTTTTAGGGGCTTATGTCACCCTAAAAGCTCGCATTTACGGCTATGATCAATGCAATTGTAACACAGGAGAATCCAAGGGGTTGCAATTCTCTTTATAATAGTAGTGCTCATTTACTAAACCAGTAGGAGTGCTGGATTTAAATATTGTGCTCAGTAGGGAATCTGGAATAATTGGTTTTGCTCTGTACAGACTTTATGGGAGTCTTAGGATGATTGTTGAGCATTTCTGCTTAAACACTTCAAAAGACAGCTTCCATTCTTCTGCCAACTTCTCCATTATTGAAAGATTTGCTTTTTTATGTGAGAGATTCTATTAACAGGGGAATTAAATTGGGTCCTGAATCACCTTTATAAGAAACATGGGCTCAGCTAGAGCATAAACTTCATTTATAAAAATATTAAAAAACCAACAATAACTCCTATGAAACAATTTTATGATTTTACCAACTTTACTCTTTCAAATGAAACAAAATCAACCTATAATACAAACAAATATAATTTCCCTTTATTTGCTATTATAGTTCTTATTTCTAAGAAGGATATTTTAAAAGTGCAGATCATTAATTTTTAGTCTGTAACCTCAAATACAAAAGCAAAGGAAGAACTGACAAAATGTGCTCTCATGCAGAGAACTACCTCTTTATCACCAAGTGGAGACTCAGTGTGCATGCAGCAATGGACATAGTACACATGCCTATCTCATACAGAAAGGGTTAAGCTGAAAAAGGTCAGGCTTTGAAATATGTTCCTAGAAAATGGATTTATCCAGGAAAACTCATGTATTAGTCACTTCACATATTTTGTGTATCATAAGATTGGTTATGAGCATAACGACCATTTTGTTTACTTGTTTTCAGAGAGGGCTTTCCATGAATATTTTCTTTGGAACATTCTCAGAAACAATTGAAGTACAAAGCCATAGAGAGCAACAGTATTTCAATATATAACACAGTAGAGTTGAAAAATCACATTTGCTCTTTATTAAATCTCATTGCTGTTGGTAGCTCCTCCTAATTCTTCCATCAATTCCTGTTTGGGGTTTTCAGCACTTTTTCTAAAGTAAATTTTCCTCATGTGGGTTTTGATTTGTAGGTTCATGAGCTAACTGATGAGATGTATTTATGACCACATTGTTTTCAGCCCTGAGGGCATAGGCTTCCTTGGGCTTTGTCCTTTTTTGGCAGAATTGGAGATGAAAAGCATCTTCAAAACCACGGCGAAAATTCTCATTGAAGAACCCATAAATGATGGGGTTGATGCTGCTATTAAAAAAGGCCAGCCAGTGTGCAAATGGGTAGATGTAGATGTTGATGACCTGCAGTTCATTTGCAGACAGTTCAGCATAGTCTGAGAGCATCATCAGAGTCCACAAGGGCAGCCAGGAGAGAATAAAGAGCAAGGCCACGATCAGGAGCATCTTAACAACCTTCTGCTTCTTCTTGGACACCACGTGCCACTGCTCCCGGTTCTGCTTGCCTGTGTGAGGCACTGTCATCTTGAAGAGTGAAATTCCAATCCTTCCGTACATGATGACAATGAGGAACAGGGGAGCCAGGTAGATGTTAGCAAACAGTACTGTGGTGTAGATCTTTCTCATTTCCTTATGTGGCCAGTCTTCCAGGCACCAGTAGACAGGCATGGTTTTATTCAGGGAGTTGAGTCTCACTCGGTAATATGTTTCTTCTTGTACATGTAACATTATTGCAGATGGAGAGATAATGGCAATGGCCAGGACCCAGATGATCACAATAATGACCAACGCTGTCTTGATAGTGAGCTTTGGTTTAAAAGGGTAGACAACACACCGGAACCTGCAATTAAAGGCAAATATCAGCTGAGGCACTGCCCCCTAACTTCTGACTGAGTTGTGTAATAAATTTAAGTAATTCCTACATTCTTCTCAAAAACATGGAAAGTTACCATTAGTAGTAGAAAGGCATGCATTGCCATTTTCTGTAATTGACATGAGATAAATTTCAATTCAAAACATGAATAAGTGGAGTGTATCAGACACTATTATTAATAAAAGTAATAGTGGTAACATTTATTTAACATAAATGTGTAGTACTCTGTTTCATTCTTTTCTAGTGGTTTGCATGAATTATCTCTTGAAGTTTCATCATAAAAGATGGGAAAATAGGCCTAGAAAAGGTAAAAATATTGCCCAGAATTACATATAATTTTTTACAGGTAGTTTAGCTCCAGGGTTCATATTCTTAAACTCTTTGTCATTCCCTTCTGTGGTCCTCCCCCATGTGATCTGTGTGTTTGGCCATGTAACTTGCCTTGGCCAGTGGGACATTAGCAAGCATGACATAAACAGAGGCTCTTCATATACTTGCATATCAGGGCTTGTACCCAGAATGCTTCCTCTTGAAAGCCAGCCACCAGGTTATAAAGAGGCTTGAATTAGGTGACAGACTGTGTGTAGAAAGACCCTGGGGCAAGAGAGACCAGCCCCTAGGAGGTGCCAGCCCCAGTTTGGCACCGGGGTGATGCTGCAGCAGGACTGACTTCAGCTACAAATCACTGAGCAGGAGAACCACAGGAGGCACTCAGACAATCCACAGAGCCAGGAGAAATATTACAGGATTATTGCTTTAAGCCACTATGTGGTTTGGTGACTTGTTTCACAGCAATAAGAGTCTAAGAGTTTCCATTGTGAGTTCTGACTAGGCACTTTCCCAGTGGTCTGTCCTCTGGTGGGCATGAAAGTTCAACATCAGTATACAGAGTTAGTCTGCTTCATTTTATTGCTATTTTGTTATTGTGATTCTTAGTGTTACAATTCCTGATACACATGTTAATTATAAGGTAATTATACCAATAAGCAACTGTATAACATTTTATATTTTTCAAAGTACTACCACCTATTTAATCTTCTTTCATTTTCGTGATGGCTCTATAAAATTGAAATGTTATGAAGATTATTACTTTCCAGACTTGCAGGTAAGAAAACTTAGAGCATTTATGTGGGTGCAGCAACAACTCCAAATTAATTTATCTGACATACCGTCATACAAGGACTAGTTACCTTGAGCCTTGGCTTCTCTGCTGTCCTGTAGAACCACTCCATTGCATGCATAAGGTCTTCTGTCTTAACCTCCAAGCTTCTTCTAGTCTTCTGATCAGTGAATTTTCACCCTTTACTCACCATTAAATTGTGGATAACTTCATAGGCACCATTCTAGATATTTTTACTCTTTTTGTAAACCAACTATGAGAACCTCAAATATTTTATTTATGCATTCACTCAAGAATATATGTATATGTATTCAGAGAGGCAAAATGAACAAGACAGAAATTCAACACCAGTGAAGTCATCGATACCAGCTGAATCCACTCACATCATAAATTCATAAGCATAATAAATATTGCTACCATTTTAGGCCACTAAGTGGTTTGTTTCATATGGTGACTCATTATATAGCAACAGATGACTGAAACTATTGCAAAGTGATGCACAGATGAAACAACAGGCAGTGTGGCATTGTGAATTTAACCACAGCAGGTGACCAAATACTCATCAGTTTTTTAAAAACCTAAAATATTACAGATACAGTTGAAATTCCTTGGTAGATCTACTTTATCCAGTCATTTTCCTCTTTCTACCAAAATCCTGAAGTTGATATATATCTCTACTATCAAATTTTTTATGCTTTCATAGTATTAGCCTGCTTCTATGACATTTTAAATTTCATAGAATGGCACCATGTTGCATGTATTATTATATAACTTTGTTGAGACTGCATGCTTTTGAGATTTATGCATTTTGATATATGGTGACCTAGCTCAATAATTTTAACCACTGTACAGGTATTTATCAAATAAATATAGCACAATTTATTTAATATTCTAACCTTATGTACTTTTGATAATAAAGAAATGAAGAGTAATGTTTATTTCTAAATCTCTGTTCAGAAGCCATGCTAGAAACAGTGAAAAAGGATTAATCCTAAATGTAATGTGGAAATAAAAGTGATAAACTCAAGATTCAAGGAGAAAATGAAAAGGATATTATAGGTTTTTATTTGCTGTGAAGATGATATATATTATATAATTAAGGTATAAAATCTATTATAAACATTAACATTAAAATTATTTAGTAATAGTACTACTGTTACTTACTAATATAAAATGCATATAATTTTTAAAAAGTAGTATGCAAAAAATAATTTAGTTTAATAGTAAGCATATAATAAACTTAGAAACAACATAAAAATATCTTTGGCATACAATGGTTAGGATAGGTTTAAATTCTATTTTCTTTTCCTGCAAAACAAATAAACTAGATCTATATGATAAGCTCTTAGAAAAAGATTAAAACATTATGAATAATGATGGAAACAATAAGTTAATATTAAAAATAGAATCTACCAAGTGTTATGATGTCAACAATTATACTACATCTTATTTTGCTCTCTCATATGTACATATGTATATGTGTGTGTGTCCAGAAAATTTCCAGCCATTGTCACTTTAATGAGGACAGTTTACATGACATTGATGTAACCTGGCAGCCAAGAGGAGTAGACTAGAATGGGCATGCATGAACAATGACGACTTCACTGTCAGTGGAAATGGTAGATGCCATTGAGTGAGCATGTTTACTGTGTGGCTGTCACATTCAAAATAATTAAGTGAGTGGAGCAACAAATCTGCATCAAATTTTGCATTAAGCTTGAACATTCCTCCACAGAAACTATTTGGATGATTCAGAAGGCCACAGCTATGGGCAACTGGTGACTGGCAGCTTCATCACAACATGCCTACTCATGCATCATGTCTCATGCATCATATTTTGGTGAAACATCACATCACCCGGCTGACTCAGCCCCTCTACAGCATAGATTTGGCACGCTGTGACTTCTGTCTTTTCCCAAAATTAAAATCACCTTTGAAAGGGAAGAGATTTCAGACTGCCGGTGAGATTCAGGAAAAATATGAGGCAGCTGATAGTGATTAGGAGAAATGTGTGAGGGCCCAACCTTGAAGAGGGCTGAAGCATCATTGTCCTATGTTCAGTGTTTCTTGTATATTGTATCTTCTTCAATAAATGTCTCTATTTTTCACACTGCATGGCTGGATACTTGCTGGACAGGCCTCATATATCCTCTCTCATTTATATACACAACCCAGTTTAGTAGACTATACATTTTTCTCTGGTTAGGTGGATTAGATGCAAACACACCCATTTTTCTGGATTCATATTTCGGTGCTGACTTACCTATCCACTGCTATTGCAACCAAAGTAAAGACTGAAGCTGCAACTGATATGCCCTGAACCAAACCACTGATTTTGCACATTGCGTTTCCAAATGGCCACCCTGAAAGGGAAAAGGAAGAGTCTTTGAAAAAAAATCACTCTTAAAAAATTTCACTGAAAGTAAACAGAAAGGCATGAAATGAAGACTGATACAAGTTTTCTACGTAGTATCTATGGAACAATCAATGTTTCCCATTATTTTCATCAGTATCTTCAGAGTTCTGTTTTAGTACACTAATAATGATCATCATCATCATCATCTCAAAACTTATATAACAGTTACAACATTCTAGGCACTGTAATGGTGCTTTCTATCTATTAATATATCTAATTCCCCACAACAGGTTTCTGAAGCCTTTATTACTCACCTCATGATACAGACTAGGCAGCAAACACACAAGTGTCACATGCCTTGCCACACAGCTAGCTGCTTAGCATTATATTAGGATCTGAACCCTAGCAGTGTGGTTCCAGAGTCCAGACAACTACCTCTTATACACTAATAATGCTCTTTAAATGAATAAAACAGGAGGAAATTAGTATTCTAACTTGGAAATGTTCCCCATAAATTATGAGAAGCTACAGGTAGAATTAAGTTAATATTTACTGATATATAATGGAATGAGACAAATTACCACAAAAATAATTTATTATTCAAAAACTGTTTGTGCCCACTCCCCTCACTCAGTTTATATATTGAAGCCTTAACCCCCACGGTGATGATATTTGGAGATTTGGTTTTGGGGAAGAAATTAGGTGTAGATGAGGCCTTGAGGGTGTTGCCCACATAATGGAATTTATAAGAAGAGGACAAGAGAGAAACATCTTTCTCCATATGCATGTACTGAGGAAAGGCCCTGTGAACAAACAGCAAAAGGGTTGTCCACAAACCAAGCAAAGTACTCTCACCGAGAACCTGACTATGCTGATGGCCTGACTTTGAGTGTTAAACCTCCAGATCACTGAGAAAATAAATGCCTGCTATGTAAGCCTCAACCCCACTCTACTGTATTTTGTTATAGCAGCCTGAGCTGGCTAAGATCTAGTTTTAGAAGAAAGAACACTTTGCATGAACAAAAGTAGTCTATTTGAATTCCTCCTTAAGTGAGCCTCAGTTACCAGAATGTTCATAAATAAATTAGTAAAATTATCATAGCAGTTTGATATTCTAAACACCCATCTGCTGTTAAAAAAGTAACCTATTCTTCTACCAGCAAATATTCTATTTTCCCAAAAGATGAATGCTACATATTTCTCATATTTAAAAAAAATTAACTCAAAAATATTTTGATTTATTTTTTAAAATATAGCTAATCTCCACATATCTAGTTAAAAATATTTCCAGTAACCTAAATAATCCAAACATATCTTCAAAAAAACAAACACTTATCATCCATCCAGGCCATTTTGCAATAGGTGCTTGAATGACTCTACTGAACAAACCAAAAGAGAGCATGTCTTCTCAGCCCTGAAATTTGTTTGTTTGATACAGTATTATTTTTCCACAGAAACCAAGGTGGAAGACACAACTGAATGTAAAGTTGGACAAACAACACAACTGGCTGAATTATGTATAAACGCCATCAGATGCCACTGGCTTTCTCCCAGGTGGGCAGAAGAGTGGAGGTAACTCTCTAAGGAGGTGGCAGCATGGAGGTTTTCGGCTCTGAGTCTCTAGGTGCAGGGGGAGTGGGTGTCTCAATGATGCAGAATTAAATGAAAGTACGCACTCTGCATGCAATACGGCTGGCCCACTCAGTCTAGAATGCAACAGTCAGTCAGCCTTATATACCTATGGCAGTAGATCAGAGAATTTCCTTCTGGGGGAAGTGATCCTCCTAAGAACAGTGACATAAAGATTTTAATCTCTGGATTCCTCAATGAATAGCCCAGACTAATGAAGCTGAGGGTGGACCTAACCTGAAAACCCATGTATGCAGAAGTTCAAGGCAGACTCACAGTGCCTCTTTCCGATGCACAAGCAGCTAAGTAGCAGTGGACATTAAGGAAACATTAAATAAAAAAGAGTCTAAAACAAACTGAAAACAAGAAAGTTAAGAGAAAACAGGTAAATATAAATCAGGTAGATGAAAAATGAAAAGGAAACAAAGTTATTATGAATAACCTCAAAGATGTAACATATATGAAATGTGCAAGAGAGTATAAGAAACATACAGGATACAAAAGTAGCTCAAAGACTTTACAATATGATAACAGAAATGAAGAACTTAACATAAAGTCTGGAAGAAAAAATAAAGGATATCTTTGAAAGCAGAACAGTAAGGAGCAGAAAATGGAAAAAAAAAAGATTAGAAAAGAGGGGAGGGGGGAACTGAAATCTCCAATATTGGGTTAATAGGAGTTAAAGAAAAACAGAAAAGAATTCTACAAGAAAATTCCCCAGAAACAAAGGGTATTCATATTTTGATTGACCTAGTTTGTGTCTATTGCAATACATGAAATTTAAAAAAGACATTCCAAGTCATAATTGCCTGAAATTCAGAGCACTGGGGATAAAGAGAAGCTCGAAGAACTTTCAGGAAGAAAAACCAAATACAAATTATAAGTAAAAGAATCAAGTCAAATGGCATTGGACTTTTCAGCAGTAACATCAGGTTTCTCAGAAATAACAGTAGAGCAATCTCTTCAAATATTTTGAGGAAAAACATGTCCAACCGAGAATATTTTATATAGTTAAGTAGTCACATATGAGGGCAGAATAAAGATATCTGCAGAGCTATAAGATTTCTAACATTTTAATCTCAATTGACCCTTTCTCCAGAAGATAACAGGGAAATAAACCAAGAAAAAAGAGATGGCATCCCAACTGAGATGGCATCCCAACTGAGAGGGGAGAAGAGGTTGTTAGGGTTGCAGTGCAGGGACGTCTCTGAGCTGGTGAGCTCCCTGCTTGGAGAACACTGTGTCTGGATAGAAACAAAACTTCAAGAGCACCCGGGGGGTATCCGCAGGAAAGAAGATGCAATTTACAGTTTACCTTCTCTGTTTGAAAATATGGACAAGAAATCAACACTCCTGGAAGAGAAGCTGAGACTATGTTACCGACAGGTACACACCTACAATGAAACAAATCAAAATATGATGCCTTTTTTAAATCCAGGAAAACAAAAAAAAACTGTTAATAGAGAAATTGCTATAATAGGACTCTATTTGGCTCAGCGGGGGTAAGGTACATGTAATAATAGGAATGTATACTCTGAACATTGATTTAACCAAAAACTATAGTTGCATTGAGAGAACGAGAGGAGGAAAGAGTGTGCATGTGTATCAGCCAGTCTTGCTGTTTTCCCAGCTTCACATTCAATAGTACCTGACGTGCAGTTTCCATGGATTTTTGTTCGATTGTCCCTGTGCTGTCATCACAGTGGAGTCTGCAAAGGAAAACTACCTCTTCTGATAAAAGAGGATTATGAAAAAGAAATTACAGCTCTACAGTTTGAAGATAACACATTGTAATAAAAACATAGTAGTCATTACCAAAAAATAAAGGTAAAAGTTGCTGACTGTGGCTGCCTCCTGGGGATGCAAATCAAAGGTAAGGAAGGGTAATAAATGAAAATACACTTTTATATTCTATTTTGTATATCATTCACTTTAATTTTAAATTTATTTTTTAAATTTGTACAATTTTTAAAATTTTAATTGCTGTTCAAGCAATTTTCTGCCCTTTACCACCATCCTAGCCCACCCCCCCAGCCCTCCCCACCTCCCTCCTGTCTCCACCCACCCTTGTTATTGTCCATGTGTCCTTTATACTAGTTCCTTCAAACCCTTCCCCACTTCCCCTGAAGTTTCCTCCCCTCTTCCCTCTGGTCACTGTCAGTCTGTTCTCTATTTCAGTGTCTTTGGTTATATTTTGCTTGTTTGTTTGTTTTGTTGATTAGGTTTCTGTTAAGGTGAGATCATATGGTATTTTTCTTTTACTGTCTGGCTTATTTCACTTAGCATAATGCTTTCCAGTTCCATCCATGCTGTTGCACAGGGTAGGAGCTCCTTCTTTCTTTCTATTTGGAAATTTTTAAAATAATTTAATTATAAATGTTTACAGAGGGAATGTTGAGAGCATTTCTTCTTCATAAATAGGTTTCCTGAGAACAATAATGATAATGTTTATCAATTCTTTCACTCTTTGTCTAGCATAGTGCTTTGAAATTACACATCCTTGATATTGTTTTTTACTGATAGAGTTCACAAAGACACATGATCTATGCAGTGAGAGAAGAGGCATTCTAAGCTCCCACTCCAAAGAAAAGAAGGAAACAGGTAAATTCTACAGAGGAATCTCGTATTCTTTAGTGAACTTATGTTAATGTTACAAAAAGATGACCCTGAGATGGCTTGTGCTGCTTTACAATTTTGGTGTGTTGCTATCACTTCATTTTTTTCTTACAGACAGGAATGTGAATATCGTGAGTACTGTTCATTAATTAATATAAAACTATTTGTTAAGCAGGTACTATGTACCAAAACTGAGCTGGGAGTTGGAGGCACACGGTTCCTGTACTTTCAGAGTATATCATGTAGTGTAATAGAAGCAGTAACACAGGCCAAGAAACACCCTAGGGTACTACTTAGTCATTACTTATGTCAACATGGAATTTACCACTGATAAAACTTCCACTTTTTGAGAAATCATTGGGACTGCTGCTTCATCTTTCATCCAAAACTACTGGAAATCTGCCCTGACTGGCATAGCTCAGTGGATTGAGTGCAAGCCTGCAAACCAAAGGGTCACCGGTTCGATTCCCAGTGTAGGGCACATGCCTGGGTTGTAGGCCAGGTCCCCAGTAAGGGGCACGTGAGAGGCAACTACACGTTGATGTTTCTCTTCCTCTCTTTCTCCTTCCCTTCCCCTCTCTCTAAAAATTAATAAATAAAATCTTATAAAAAGAAAACTGTTGGAAATCTCCCCAGCTAACCATAAAAGGGTCTAAATATCTATTTATATTTGATTGAATGCATCAGTTGAAAAAAGACTTACCTATTCCTTGAACATTACACCCCATAATATTCTCATAAATATTTCTACCATATTATATGTGCCCTGAACTGTTTTAAGCAAATTCAAGGTCTTCAGTGATATATGTTAGATCTCATTCTTTGGAGACAGTCAGTGAACACTCCAAGGTGAAGGAATTAACATGTACAAATTGACAGTTACAAAATAGTCACAGGGATATAAAGTACAATATAGGGAATATAGCCAATAATATAATAATAACTATGTATGATGTAGGGTGGATACTAGGCTTATTGGGGTATCACCTTGTAAGTTATATAAATGTAATGAATGGATGACCTAGCCATGGCTACAGGGTGATGGGACACACATTTTCTCATATCATCATGCCCTGCACACAACTCAACATACCTGCTATAATGTTGTCCAGAAGCGTAATAGGCATACAGAATATGCCAACTAATAAATCACTTATCGCCAGGTTCAAGATGAAGAGATTAGTGACTGTGTGCATATGTTTATTCCTCATTACAATAAAGCACACCACTGTATTTCCCACCATGCACAGAAAGAATATCAGAAAGTAGGAAATAATGAAGATCGCTGCTACTTGAGCACCATGAAGGTAGTAGTTCACATAGGTAATATTGATATCTGAGTAGAGATAATGTCTGGTGTCATTGACACTTAAAGTATGATGCCAGTTTTCTGAAGAGTTTGAGTCCCATTTCTCATTCATGATGGACCTGAAGAAAAGGCAGAAAAGGGAAAATGTAATTAGAAACCAGTAGAACATAAATTCTATGCCTGAGTTTAAGAGAGACACTTTTACAATGCTATAGCCTTTTGATGGGTCTTATATAATAATCCATAAGTTTTACATGGAATTGAGCTACAAATAGGACATTGGATGCATTCAAATTTTAATCAAGAGCATCTGAAAATTCTACTTTATACTGTAATTAACACTTGTTATTCTATTGTATTTCCTGGATATACTCTATTTCATTTCTTTATCATATCTTCCAACCATTTGCAAAGTTTCATGGGAAACTCTGGAAGAGAAACCTTCCAAAACTTTCCTTCTTCCTGCCTAGAAGTCCCATAACCTTCCTAAACCTACTTGTTCTTTTGAGCCTCACTTACATGTCTCTAGCTTTTCTGACAATTTTGAACAAGATGAGGTGTCTACATTTTCATAACTCCCATTTAAATAACCTTCCTTTGTTTTTCTGTATTCTGCTTTGACTCTGTTAATTGGATATTCTTTCTATAAACTTTTGTGTGCAAACATATCCACCATACTTCAAATTTCTTAAAATAGGTCTAGGCTACTTGTCTTGGTTTCACTGAACATAATTCCATCCCACAGTTTGTATTCAATAAATGTTTTATTTGGAATCTGTGTATCTCAATGTAGACATTTCTCTTTTTTCTTTTTTTTAAAGATTTTATTTATTTATTTTAGAGAGATGGGGAAGAAAGGGAGAAAGAGAGGGAGTTAAACATCAATGTGTGGTTGCCTCTAGCACACCCCATACTGGGAATATGGCCCGCAACCCAGGCATGTGCCCTGATTGGGAATCAAACTGGCGATGCTTTGGTTCACAGGCCTGCGCTCAATCCACTGAGCTACACCAGCCAGGGCTCAATGTAGACATTTCAATCCACCCTGTGTCTCAGAGGTCTCCAACACTCTGAGGTTTAGTGATTTACTGGAAGGAATCAGCATACAGTGCATTCAAAGCTAAATACATATGATAGTGAAAGGTTACAAAGTAAAATCAGTATATAAAATGGCACATGAGGTAAAATCTGCAGGAAACCAGGCACAAGCTTCCAAGAGTTCTCTCTCAGTGAAGTAATACACGACATGCAGAATTCCTCCAGCCATGAGTGATAGCATATGTGAAGTACTATCTACCAGAGAAGCTGATTGGAGACTCAAGGCCCCAGGTGTTTTAGAAAGTGGTCATGTGGGCACCTTCTTCTTAGCATGTATCAAAATTCCAGAGTCCCAGATGGCAAGCAGGTGTGCATGATGAAATATGTTATTTGTACAAACAACTTAGTCATAGTGAACCACTTATCATTTAAAGATACTTTATATTAGTATAGGGGACTGTTTGTAATTTAGTTTCCAGTCTCTAACCAAGGGCCTATCTTGCAGGCAAGCCTTTCTGAAGATAGCACGCTCAGGCTTGCTTGTTAACTCCTTTCTGAATACCTTGAAAATTGTTTGGGCAGAGGGTTCTATGTGCCTGTAAATGGCAATGAATTTGACAGTGGAATTATACAATTGAGCTCCCATATTCTCTTTTTTGGAGTAGTTTCATGGACTTTGGATTGGTGAGAATAACTTCCATGGGTCTCTGCAGGCAGATAACCAGACTCCAGTTTGCAGAAGATTAAGGCATTTGGAGATCTATTTGTCAATTGCATTTTTCAGTCTTTTGTCAAGTAAACATTTATATCATTGTAAGGGAACATAATTATTCTTATAAATATGACACAAAAAATAAGATATGTATCATTTACTCCTGACACTTGATTTTAGATAGTTTTCTTTTTATGTCTTATGTATAGGGAAAAGTAACAATATAACTTACTATTATAAACTAAGTTGAAGACTCTGCTTGATATAAAACATGTTAGAATTGATTATACAGAGAAGGAAGTAAATTTGACTTTAGAAACATTGCACATTCCATTAAATATATTCATCAAATCATATAAAAAGGTTCAAAGAAAAAGGTGTAATTGCAGGCAAACAGTAACTGAGATGACAAAAAGATATCAAAAGACCTTTAAAGAGGCAGGTCATTATGGTTGTACTTTATTGCTTCTTCTCTTTGGATAGTTCAAATGGGTGTTCATTGAGGCAATAAGATTATTCTTTTTAAAATATTAAAGACAATTTAATGAGATAAAGAATAACTTAAAAAATGTGTGGCACAGAAGTCTTAACTGAGGTCAGAGAATGAGCTGGTTGAGGTATTAAAGCAGCTGGCCAGTAATCCATTTCTCCCCCAGCATCAGGAGAATGCCCTCAAGGAGGGAAAAGAAGACAGACAGTGCAGACCTTGTGGACAAAATAGTTGGACCTCAAGGGAGAGTAATGATATTTGCTAGGATGGTGAGCCTTATATGTTTAACAATTTTAATAGGGCATTGCTGTAGTAAATAAATAACAATTTTAATAGGGCATTGTTTGTAGTAAATAAATATAGAATCTATTGATTTATTTTAGTCTATCTCCTACTAATCTTTTACTTTATATTGTTACCTAAAAGTTCTGGAGATAAAAATATTATTTTCAAGATGATAACACATTCTATTGGGGTGAGAGCTATTTCACTTAGAAAGTACTTTGAGCCCTGGTTGGTGTGGCTCAGTGGACTGAATGCTGGCTTATGAACCAAAAGGTCACCAGTTCAATTCCCGGTCAGGGCATATGCCTGGGTTGTGGGCCAGGTACACAATAAAGGGCACACAAGAGACAACCACACATTAATGTTTTTTTCTCCCCCTCCCTTCCCCTCTCTAAAAGTAAATAAATAAAATCTTAAAAAAAAAGTACTCTGAGAAGTTCTCTTTAACAGAGAAGGAAACTACCGTCATACAACCTTACACTCTAGGACTCAACAACAGTGAGCAGAATAACCAAACAGTGAGTCCTTGATTATCTTTAAATTCTTTATTGCCTTAAGTACCTTATTACCTTTGAGTATTTTAATATCAACTCTATACTGGGTGATATTCTAATTGCTTCTTATGTGTCAACCCATGTAATCTTGCCAGTATGTGGTAACTACTAATACTATCCCAATTTAATATATAGAGAAACTAAGACAAGATGATGTTTTGTAGCCTGTCCCCAAACTCCAGAGTTAAAAATTGGAAGAATTGGGAAACATACAGGAAGGATTTCCTAAGAGTGTGAAGGTCAGTAACATAGAGGATGGGCAACTTGACAGTTGGAAACTGACTGGGATGAAATTCCATGACATGGATACAGCCAAAGAACTTCTAGAATCCATTACATCTAATATGTAATTTAATTTTATCTTTTTAATAAAAAATATTTTTAATTTTTTCAGTTATAGTTGACATACAATATATTATTAGTTTCAGGTGGACAAGATAATGATTAGACATTTATAGAGCTAATAAAGTGATCACCACATTAAGTCTAGTACCCATCTGACACTATAATAGCTATTACAATATTACTGTGTCCCTTATGCTGTACTTTATATCCCTATGACTATTTCATAATTGCCAATTTGAACTTGTTAGTCTCTTCCCCATTAAAAAAATCTATTGTTCAGTTACAGTTGTCCCCATTTTTCCCCTGCATTACTCTCTCCTGCCCTACCCACCCCCACCTCCCACATTCATTCCTCACCTGCATGTCTTTTGTTCATGTCTTACTCAAAAATACTCCCTACCTATAACCTCAAACTGTCAGCAAGTATCTATTAAACCTAACTGCCTTTGTGGGAGATAATTTTCAAATATCAAGGGAAATGGTATAATGCTTGGGTCAGTGTGGGCCAGAGAGAAAAGAGCAGCTGTAAAGGATAAGACTGGGGCAGGACCGTGTCACATGTACGCACAGAATGCTTGGAGATACTGTGCTGCGGGGGGGCGGGGGGGGGGGGGAAGAATGCTGGATTTTCCTAAGCATGGGACAGAGATACTTTTATTTCTATATAACAGCTACATCAAAAAAGCATGATTTTCAGGATGCAACATAAAAGCAACTATATTTGTATCCTGGTGACCCTTTATTTTTTGAGGCTAAATACTTTCTGCCCCTGAGTGAAATTTAGAAGAAGTCTTATTACTTCTTTAACCATTTTCTGATGATAAAAAACAGTATAGTAGTTAATATGTCCAGTCCAGAATAATAAACAAAATGTTAAGTCTTCACCAAGAATGCCATTTTGGCTTCTGGCTTCTTTTCTTTTTTCTGACTGGCTCATGCTCTTTGATAGCCCTACCCCTACCTTGTCAATCTCAGTTCCCATCCTTGCCAGATTTGTGGGTGGGCTAGGTTAGGGAGGTGGAAAGGGGAAGAAAATTCCTACTTTTCTTTGTAGGTGTTCCTTGAACTAGGCAGAGTTTTGAAGGTGACCCTTAATTTTTGTGGACACCTTCCTAGGCGTTTCAGACAGTAAACTATGGCTGTGCAATAGTCTATACTTCTGATCTACACTTCTCTTCAAGCGAGGAGATTCCTCTCTGGCTGCTGCTGGCTCTGTCTTCAGCCTTGAGAAATCCTAGAGTTTCACCTGCTGTAGAGCATCAGTATTAACCCTTGTTCAGTTGGGTCAATCACGCTGGCCCACACTCACACTCAAGCATCTTTTGTCCTAAAAGACTCTAGGACTGTGAGTTGGCCAATGCCACCAACTCTGCCACTCCACTATCAGAGGAACATACCAGCCAGCCAGGTCCTTGTGCTTTAGATGTCTCAAGTGTGAGCCTACTGTGTTCTCCAAAATATTATGTGCATACGAGTATATTAAACTCTCTGTATATCTCCTTTACTCCTTTTTTAAGCATGAATGGAGGGGTAGGCACTCCCTTTCTTCCATCTTGCAAGTGAGTGAGTGACTCAGCACACACCAAGAAACGTCCCTCTCCATCCTCTTCTAACTTCTGATTCTGGGCCTCTTTAATCTCTTCAGACTGAGGATAACTATTCCTGAATACCATCCTTTACCGGTCAGGATGGCAG